GAAAGGTCAGCTGCTGAAGGTGAAGGTTTACGAACTGTGAAGGGACGCTTGGTGCTGTTATCACCACGGCGACAGAGAGAGAGAATGATGCTCACGAGAAGAGAAGAGTGTGCCAGTGAGCTCAGAGGATGCACATCTATCTATCTATTTATCTATCTATCTGTCTGTCTGTCTGTCTGTCTGTCTGTCTATCTATATGTCTGTCTGTCTGTCTGTCTATCTGTCTATCACTGTGTCTAAACAGAATATTCTGTATCACATCCAGCATATGTATTAAAATAGCTCTACAACATCTGTGACATGCTTTTGATTACCACAGAAAATAATATTGACTCGTCTCACATTTTTTTTTTAAAAGTACAGAAAACAAGCTTACAATAATGAACTTGTAATGAAAATGAAAAAAAAAGGCAATTGTGCCAGAGGGTTTAAAAGCAGAAATGTGAGGCTTGTATATTTCTAAAAGCACTTTAGTATGGTTTGGGCCAGTCTGCAGTCATTATAATTAGCTTTATATAAAATCAATACAAATCCATGTTATGTCCTAATTCAGGCACGTTAGCAATTGTGTGTGATTGAGTGTGTGTGTGTGTGTGTGTGCTCTGTCCCCTGGTTTCTCTACTGTGTGTATCCCATAATGCTCCTCTCTCCCGAGAGTGGCACCTAATCAACTCTATTCTGATGCCACAGTGAGAGACTGATTCTCGCGTCTGATCCTGACAAACACACGCAGTATGATGAAGCTGGAGCTCGCATGGAGCCCACCTTCCTGCGTCTGTGTGTCATCAGTACATGTATTCATGTTCAGAGACACTCAGTGCCGAAAAGCCAAGGATAATTACATATTATTGTTCATCTTCGAGGTGTTTAGGAAGTCAAGCATTGGTATTGTTATTGCTCATAGTAATCTGAACAAGTACGAAACATCAGCACATCACAGAGCCGCGTTTCACACCAGACAGGAAGAAAACACCTAGAAACAGCAACATCAGTGAGACAGAACAAATCTGGCTGTTGTTATATTTCATGGAAAGACTTCAGCCCCAAACCTACTGCAGAACATACGTGTGTGTGTGTGTGTGTGTGTGTGTGTGTGTGGATAAACAGCACACTAGAACCTCGAACCCAATGAGACGAGCAGAAACACACATCTACACCACAGGAGCAACGTTTGCACGCGATTGCATCAGAGATAATGATCAGACAAAACACAACCCCACAACAAAACAATAATAAAAGAGAGAAAAACCCATTCAGCAGAACAGTGAGAGAGACAGAGGCTTTCTGAAGAAGAGGACAGACTGAATTCAGAGAACACTAGGAAAGGACTGACAGTCACAGATGGCACACAAACACACACGCGGTTTACAGAAGCGAGGATGAGGACTGGAGAGGGACTGGCTTTCTCAAATCCCCGTCCAGGGATCAAACGCCACACAGATACAGTCAGAGCGACCACCGTCAGCGTGATCACACTGCCACCTGCTGGAGACACGTGCCGCTGCAGAATATACACTGTTTGGAGGAATTATAAACTCAAGCATGCAGTGACCATTAGGCGTCATTATTATTTGATAAATGTGCCATAAAACCCTGCTTGACAAATGCTGTTCTTTCACTTACACTATGTGGAAGAGAGCAGCGTGAACATTTGGCTAAACATCTTTCAGCACAGTTTTGTTTTTTCACAGATTTTTTTTCTCTCTCTCGACACATTCACCTCTGGCTTCTTGGTTGTAACATTTAAGGCATGCATTTTTTGTGAAGTTGTTTTGAAACAATGCACTGTCAAAAGATCTACACAAATAAACATAAAATGATAACAGCTGATTTGTTTAAGTTTTTTCTACAGTTTATGTAGCTCAAACGGTCGAGCGAGCCGCTAGCAACACCACGGTTATGGGTTTGATCCCCAGAAAATGCCTGCAGTGATAAAGTGTGTACATTTCTTACTGACAGTCTGTTTCTTATAGTAATCGCATGAGCTGATATTGAATACTTGCTTCCTTATTTACTCCCTTATTGCCTTATTATATTGTCTTAATATATATATTATAATGATGTCTGCTATGAATGAAAATCCATCACTGTGTCATTAAAAGCTGACTTCTAAAACAGTGGTTTGTAACAACAAGTTAGGGATAATCTGGTCTATATTTACATAAAAAAAAAACAATTAAAAATAACTGCTAAGCACATTCAAAGGTCTCATTTTGATCCTATTTCATAAAGACAATGGAGACAAGTCTTAATAATCAGAATAAAACAATTTTCATCGTTTTGTAATCATTAACTTTTTTGAATCCAAATGTAGGCATACCATTTACTTTACTAAATTATTAGTTAAGAATGAAAAATCACAGTTGGTATCGTCTGTGGTTCATTCATCAGGCTGCAAAGAGAAGGTCAAGTGTTCCAAACGTGTGTTCAGAATAGATCACTCGCTCACTGAACACTGCACAGTGCATACTACAGACTGAAACAGCCTTCTAAAGGTAGTATGCTATGATACACTGTTGTCAGGTGATGCTGTTTATAAGTAGATTCCAGTTTTCATCTTAGTATTGAATGTTGTTCTGCGTTTTTAGCCATGTGTAAACTGTAAACTGCTTATTTCTGAAAATCAAGTAGCTGGTCTGAAGCCTCCGGACATATAAAAGAACATCAGCATACAGAGCACTGCAGGAATAGTGTGCGTGTGTGTGTGTGTGTGTGTGTGTGTGTGTGTGTTCAGTGGTGTTACACTGACATCTGCTGGTGGAGCTCATGATGACAGCTGCACTACAACACCATTCATCACACGATTATCACATGTGCATGTTGAGCCCTTATCAAAACCAAATCAAAATGTAATATGCACTCTTAATGAAAATATGGAAATGCAGAAAGGTTTGTGTGAGGGTTAGGCTACGATAGAGCAAAGATCATTAGCTCTATATAATATTATTAATGACTATTTTAATGTGAAAGGTTAGTGCTGGGGTTTAAAGTCATGACAGAGCAAATTAGCTCAATATTAAAAGTCTGTGTGTGTGTGTGTGTGTGTGTGTGTGTGCGTGGATGTGTGTGTGTGTGTGTGTCTTTAGATGTGACATCCGCTCCAGAGAAACATTTTAAATAAAGAAAGAATCTAAAAGTTTAATGTCAGACGAAACTACAGGAACAGAGCGCATTAAAAGAGAAACAAACACGAGATGGAAATAAACTCATGATGTAGAGAACGTTTGCATGCTTGTGCTCATTATCAGTTCAAACGACTCAGAAACACAGACGTCTGTCGTTTCACCAATGAAATCTTCAGCTGCTTTGATATTAAGGATGAATACTTTAAGACACATTTATATTCATTTTTCACCAGAAACCTTGTTTTGACAGCATCTGTTTGACTGTAATTCTGTCAGCAGTCATAATAACAAAACAAACAGCTAATACACGTCATAATATGAGCCTAGGTTACAGTAGCATGCATTATTTAGCTTTGCATTGCTAAGCATGTCACATTTTACTGAGTAAATAGTCTTCAATAATTAAAGATTTACTAATTCTTTCATTATCGTCATTTAAAAGTGGACGCTGAATCTCAGTTACTCTGGAACAGAGTGAAACAATAAGAGCTCTATACAAAAGCCATTTAAAAATGAGCAAGAAGAAACTGTTCAAAGACTGATTTATTATTATTATTATTATTATTTTCCCACTACACTTAAAAACATATTAAATTATATTAAAATGTAAATATTTCCGTCAAGCAACTGAGACTAAAGTGTAAATATAAAGTGTACATTTTTTTGGAGGGGGGGGGGTCCTGCAATGATGTTTAGATATATATTATTTGTGTGTTTTATATATATATATATACATATATTTAACAAGTCAGAGAAATTTGACAGCTTTAGTACCTTGTTTTACATCACTGCCTGTTTAGCCCCGCCCACATATTCTACATCACTGCCTGTTTAACCCCGCCCACCGATTCTACATCACTGCCTGTTTAACCCCGCCCACCGATTCTACATCACTGCCTGCTTAGCCCCGCCCACATATTCTACATCACTGCCTGTTTAGCCCCACCCACAGATTCACGCATGTAGTGTAAATAATGAGAGGCAAACGCAGCTCTACACAGAAATCAAACGATAAAGATGCTCCGAAGAAAAGACGCTGTTCAGTGCCAAGTTGTGGAAAAACTGAGTCTCTGCATCGCCTTCCTTCTGATCCCAGCATTTGGAAAGAGTGGATGAACTTTATTTTTAATGAAGATCCAGACCGTGAATGTAAATGCAAACATACATAACTGTTAGTCAATCACAGCAGTGGGCGTTTACTTCAGAATCTACAATCCTCCACGCCTATTCAAACAGAGAGTTCTGATGAGGTGGTCAAAACAGCACAGAAAATAGCCTATTACTTCTCAATTATGATGTGTTTTGATGCAAACATCTTGATATAATTATAAGTGGACCTCAGAGAACAGTACATAACAATAAAAAAGGCAGTTCACGACCCCTTTAAATACAGTAAAGCTTAAAACAACTGCTGTTGCTGGAAATGATTGTGATGGAGAAAAAACAAAATAACACACTGCATCTCTATGTATCTAACGCTAGAGGTGAATTAAAACAGATCATCAGTTTAATTACGATCAGGTCTAATGACGCTATTAAGACCTATCAGATGCGTGTGTGTGTTTGATTCTGTATCAAGGCCTACATCAGCAGGTTTGCACATGAAAACTGCATCATTACAGCTGAAGAGCATCAAACGGACTCAAACCTCTGAAATGACTCTTCTCTTACTATCTTTAGCTTTAAGTCAGTTATTTCCACGCACACACACACACACACACACACACACACTCACACACACACACACACACACACATTATAATAATGTACAGTAAGTGAACAATGCATTATTTCATGTTTTTGCGTGACTCTGTGTCAGCGCTGGAGTGGGTTAGACGTGAATTTGTGTGTTCAGTGTTTGTTCACTGGACTTACACTCGCTGCCGCCCGCAGGTTCACGCAGGTTCCATCTGGATCCTCACAACACGCTCCGAGCCAGACCGCACCTGAGACACACACACAGATGGACAGGTTACTGAGAACAGAAACACACACGTGTCTGCCCGTCAGCTCTAGAAGCTCTTAGTTTAATCTCTGTAGTTATTTATCTGTCCATTTCTACATTCATTTCTTAACACGATTCATGTCTATCCTGTTGAAAAAACAGCATATGCTGGTTAGGTATGTTTTGAAGCATGGCGTCTGGTTTAAGCTGGTTGTCAGCTGGTTTAAGCTGGACCTTAGTTGGTCATAGGCTGGTTTAAGCTGGTCCTGAGCAGGAGCTAGTTGCTTAGGACCAGCTTAAACCAGCTGATAACCATCTTATAAACACCTCAGGACCATCTTAAACCAGCTTATAACCAATTCAGGGCCAGCTTAAACCAGCTTATAACAAGCTCAGGGCCAGCTTAAACCAGCTGATAACCAGTTCAGGCTTAGCTTAAACCAGCTGATAACCAGCTCAGGACCAGCTTAAAACAGCTGATAACCAGTTCATAACCAACGCAGGACCAGCTTAAACCAGACGATGACCAACTAAGGACCATCTTATAACCAGCTCAGGGCCATCTTAAACCAGCCCAAGACCAACTAAGGACCAGCTTAAACCAGCTGATAACCATCTTATAACCACCTCAGGACCAGCTTATAACAAGCTTAGAACCAGCTTTAAACCAGCTGATAACCAGCTTATAAACATCTCAGGATCATCTTAAACCAGCTTATAACCAATTCAGGACCAGCTGATAACCAGCTTATAACAAGCTCAGGACCAGCTTAAACCAGCTGATAACCAGTTCAGGCTTAGCTTAAACCAGCTGATAACCAGCTCAGGACCAGCTTAAACCAGCTGATAACCAGTTCAGGCTTAGCTTAAACCAGCTGATAACCAGCTCAGGACCAGCTTAAACCAGCTCATAACCAGCTCAGGACCAGCTTAAAACAGCTGATAACCAGTTCATAACCAACTCAGGACCAGCTTAAACCAGCCCATGACCAACTAAGGACCATCTTAAACCAGCTGATAACCATCTTATAACCAGCTCAGGGCCATCTTAAACCAGCTGATAACTAGCTCAGGACCAGCTTAAAACAGCTGATAACCAGTTCAGGATCATTTTAGACCAGCTGATAACCAGCTCAGGGCCATCTTAAACCAGCCCATGACCAACTAAGGACCAGTTTAAACCAGCTGATAACCAGCTTATAACAAGTTCAGGATCATCTTAAACCAGCTGATAACTAGCTCAGGACCAGCTTAAAACAGCTGATAACCAGTTCAGGATCATTTTAAACCAGCTGATAACCAGCTCATAACCAACTAAGGACCAGCTTAAACCAGCTGATAACCAGCTTATAACCAGCTTAAACCAGCTGATAATCAGCTCTGGACCAGTTTAAACCAGCTGCCATGATTCAAAACATACTGTATGACGAACATGTTTTTAATTAAATTATTTAGCATTTGTGTTAATATGAGTTTAATCAGTATAATTCTGCTGGACTGAGTTCACAAACACCTCATGCAGTGTATGTTCTGTTTATAGTCATATTTGTGACACAGACAGTCGATGAACTTACAGTTATTTTGTTTTCACAAACATCCTAAACCCAGGATGTTTGTGTGAGTGTTATTTATCTACTTACTTATTTTTTTCTTAAGTGTAATATTAGTGTAAATGAAGGTGTTGTGGATATTTTTGGAATTTATTTATTTATTTTGGTTTTAAGCGAATAACTATATGTTTATTATGATACCATAACATAACATAATACATAATATACATGTATATATAACATAACGTGTGTGTGCACACATTAAGTAGGACACGGCAAGAGATTATTTAGTACTTTACTGAAAATTATGTGATACGATTAATTTCATAAACATATTATATGTGACGTTTTGTGACAAGGCAAGGTTTTTTTCATGTTATAAATGGCCATTCAAGCATATAAACACATTTTTAATGATCTCTGCTCCAGCATACAGACTTCAAAAGACTACACTAAAAATGCAGGGCATTTTTTTTTCTACCCAAACACTGGGTTGAGTCTATTGCATAATTTTATTGGTTTATTTTTGCTTATTTGTTTTTGTGTTGCACAGTGTAGTTCTCAGCTGAATGTGTGCATTTCTTGGTGAAATAAAGGTTTATGTATATTTTATTGTATCGATAAAGTCATTATGTCGTGTGATGGAAATGCCTGATGCCTCGCAAACAATATTGTATCCATAAAGAACCTGAATCTAATTACTTTGAATGTCAAAATACTGTATATCATCAGAACTGTGCTCTGTCTTTTATGTGTAGGTGATAAGGAGTCAATCAAAGCAGTTTCAGTGGCTGTAAAAAGCATGTGCATTTTTAATTAGGCCATTCAGTTTATTATTGCTCGTTTGTTTGTTGATAAACAATCGGTCTTTATATTCCAACACTGCGTCGCTCTGCACTCTATAGCTTTAGCAGTGCAATCTTGGGTTTAACCCTGGTGTTAACTCTGCCCCAGAGCTATCGGGGGTTAACCAGACAATAAACCAGAGGTTAAATGCAGTGGGAAAACCCCAAGCAACACACCACAATGTTCTGCCTAGTCAAGAGTTATAGGCCTTATCGCTTGAACCAAATATTGGAAGTCAAATATTAATTTATGCCACACAACCGTCAATCTAACATTAGTGAACGTGCTGGGTGCTTTTACATTTTAAAGTGTTTAAAGTGTTTTAAATCACATTCTATATTTTGGAGCTGAAAATATGATTTCCCCAAGCTAGAGCCATGATACACAATTTCCAGCATCAGATGCATTTGGATTTCAGTCTTACCGTTCATGAAACCCTCGTCATCTGAGCTGTCTCCGGCCAGAGGAATGAAAGAATAAAACTCCTCAGAATCTCACCTGGAAGACAAGAACAAAACAGAAACGTGTTTCATGTCAGTAAAAGTTACATCTGATGATACATTATCCACTGTTTTCAAAAACACGATAAATTCAGACATCATTTCTCACAATTGCTAGTTCAAGATAACGTCTTCAGTAGACTGTCCTTTACATCGGTACCACAATCCTTTACATCAGTACCACAATCGTTCTTACAGTATATTTTAAACTGTATTTTGTTGCAGCGAACTGGAGAGTAATTTGTTTTTGTTGGATTTGCCAAAGCCAATTCTTCTTTACATTTGGCTTGGCACATGTTGATTTTGGACTTGCTTGTGTGCTGTTGTTTGCACTTATTCTCATCAAAGCAGGACCATGTCCTAAATCACATCTAATCATCCCAACCCAACACCCTTGAGTTTCCTGCCATCCCACGCAGCCTCATCTTTAATCACATAATATTCAATCAATGCACTACACTGAAGTGTAAACAAGTGTGCTTCATTACAGTAGTTTGTCTGTGCACATGACAGCTGATGATTGACTGACTGATTGATTGACTGATTAGATTCGGGAGCTCCACACACTGTCAGACCTGAGCAATTGGTCTCCAAGGACAATGAGATAAAACAGCATTAAACAAAGTCCTTTCCACACTCTCGTTCTGTTTTCTCATGTGAGTCCCCGGAGCTTAGCGTTTTATTTAGATTCACTGCTAATTATGCGGACGGATCTGTTTACTCTTCAGATCAAAGTTTCTCCCCTCTGTGTTATTCACAGATCTAAACAGTCCTTTTATTAGCACGGCCAACAAAGACTTTAGCACCGCCCTCTTAGAAAACTCATTAATTAGTGTGCATAATGAGATTAGTGATTTAGAGTTAAAACTGCCATGCTAACGGACTCCTGTCTAAAGTAATTCCTCCTGCAGTCACGTCAGTGGCCTCAGATTTTGAATCGAGTAAATATACACGTCTCACTAGATGTACATACAAATAAATATAGTTTTTTTTTTTTTGATCATATGATGTGCAATACTGTCAAAAAAGATTACACAAATGTTAATTTTCCACACATACCCACAAAATGTACACCGTTTACAGATAAAATACAAATAAACAAATCAGTTAGGTCACAGGTGTATGAGCGCAAAATATGTATATTATTAGATGATAAAGTTTATAAATTACTATAAATATATCATTTTCCAGTTAATGAGACTTTTGTATATATCAAATGTCACACTTTTTTTCTCAAAATACAATGACGCAATGAAAACTAGCCCCATTCAGCCCTAATGAATCACCCGCTGCGAGCATGAACAAGAAAAAGAGAAAAGGACCTAATACAGAGCTTTGTGGCATATCATAATTTACCATTGTAAGTTCAGATATTTGTGCATTTACACAAACAGAGTGGATTGGCAGGACAGGTGAGAGATGCATTTCTATTTTTTAAGTCATGCAGACTTTTAAAAACAAAATAATTAATTGATATAGTAGTAAGGAATGTTACATTTCCTTGACAATATTTTATCAGTGATATGCATGACCGATATTTCCATCTGATACATCACTGTACCTTAGTACTGCCTCTGTGGGTTTTTTATTTGTAAAGCAATTTGGAGAAGTGTAGTAAGTGCTGTGTCATCTGAAGAAGTCTTTTAGAGATGATTTGTCTTTGACCAGAAACACCTCGCATCTGGCTCAGTTTTGTAACCACTCGCTTTTTGAAAAATACAGCACATGGAGGTAACGATATTTCATTTCACAACAACCAAATGGTTGCAGAATTCATCACCAGCTGTTTTTTTTCTCTTCAGATCTCTGTGTTGAGTGGAAACTCTTTGATGGTGAATCTTTTCTGTCCTCAAACACTTCACTTTTGTGTTCTAATTTTGGCCCTGCTACTAATTAACAGCTCTGTGCTGAAGAGTTTGAGCATGCAGTCGCACAAACTGTTCCCTGCCTTGTGCGTTTGTGTGTGTACCTGCCCGCGCACACACACACACACACACACGCACACGCAGGTTTGACACCATTCTGTCCAACACATTTTCTGTCTTGCAGTCCTAAAAATAAAGGTTCCAGAAATCTATCTATCTATCTATCTATCTATCTATTCATCCATCTGTTTCACGCAGGTTTGACACCATTCTGTCAGAGCGCTGTGAGAGCGAAGCTCACTGTTTCTCAAACGAGCAGAGCACAAATGAACCAACAGGAAACAGTTTCCAACACGGAATAATTTCAAACTGTTTTTCTCTCTCTCTTCCTGTCTGTCTGTCTTCAGAAACAGCTGTATGAGTGTCGTTCGGCTGTCTGGTCCCTGCCGTGATGGTTCCTGACTGCTGAAAAGCTCTTGGTTAATTAACGTGTTCTGTATTAATTCAGACATCCACACAGGAGACGTGTTATACATTTACTCAGCACTCTGTGTCTCTGTAATTTAACTGCATTTCGAGAGTTTCCAGCGGCATGCGGTGTGTGTGTTCGGCTCATGGCTGCGTCTCCCTGTGTCTATATTTAGTGTGAGTGCGTTTGGAGTCTGCTGGATGTTTATTTGAGATGAAATTGAGAGCAGGTGACAGTGAGCATGTGGGACGATCTCACGGGACTCAATGTGACGCGTGCGACTGCTGATACGCTAAAGCTTCAGTCACTGCTGAGATCTCACACTGGCAGTGTTCATCTGTCTACCTGCATTATCTGTCTGTGTTTCTGTTCTTCTATCTATCTATTTATCTATCTATCTATCTATCTATCTGTCTGTCTGTCTGTCTGTCTGTCTGTCTATCTATCTATCTATCTATCTATCTATCGTTCTATCTATCTATCGTTCTATCTATCTATTGTTCTATCTATCGATCGTTCTGTAGTTCTGTCTATCTTTCTTCACGGATGAATGGGGTAAAATTGGTAGAAGGGCATTTTTAGGTCATGCAAATGTAGTAGAGCTCCACTGTGCCCTTACACACACACACACACACACACAAAAGCTCATTGTAAGTGAATTAATTAGGTGATCTCTCGCTGTGTTTAAGTGGGGCAGACAGCAGGGGAGGAGAAAAGAGCAATATTCATAAATCGACCACAGAACGACAGACAGAGAGAGAGACAGCTGGAGGAAATATGGCCAAAAATGGAAATAATGGTCTACATAAAAAGAGGGAAAAGATGAATTAAAGAGCGGGGCGTGTGAAAGAGCAGATGAAGCGAGAGAATGAAGAGGCTGTGTGAGAGATTCACAGATGTGCCGCTAGTGTGCGCTGTTCAACCAGATACACACACACACACACACACACACACAGAGCGCTGCGACCCCAAGAGCATTATGGGAATTGTAGTTCTCATGCATTGAACCGATTGAGCTGATTGTCTGTCTCTCTGTTACTGGCACGAACTGCAAGATTACATCATCAGATAGACCAACACAACGAATATCGCTCAAACACACACTGAAAACATTACAGACAGATGGATAAGACGGTGATTTAAAAGACAAACGTCTCTGAGGCTCACGGCAATGTTCTGGGAACAAACATCAAACCTGAGCCGTGTAGTGAACGACACCTGTCTCACACACACTGTAAACCCTGAAAGAAGCTGAAACGTGTCTCCGTTCGGCCTTCAGCAGCTCACTGTGTGTCTGTGTTTGTGTGCATGTTTGTTTATGCTCTTATTAAGGCTCTATTTTGAGAGTGTAATATATTCTGCGTCTCCAGAGCTTTTCCTGTTTCCAGCCGAATTTCACTCAAGCACACCATTAACTTCCAGAGCTGCAACTCAATAACTAAACACACTCTCAGACAGTGTGTGTGTGTGTGCGTGTGTGCGTGTGTGTGTGTGTGCACGTTTTTGTGACAAATGAGGACATAAATTTGTATAATGACAAGGGTATGACATAGGTATTACAAGGAGAAGGTGACTTTTCAGGACATTACCCCATGTCCCCACTTTTCAAAACGCTTATAAATCACACAGAATGGAGTGTATTGAAAATTTGAAAATGCAGAAAGTTTCCTGTGAGGGGTAGGTTTAGGGGTAGGGTTGGTGTAGGGCAATAGAATATACGGTCTGTACAGTAGAAAAACCATTACGCCTATGGGATGTCCCCACTTTTCACAAAAACAAACCTGTGTGTGTGTGTCGTACATCAGGCGAGCTGCAGTCATAAAGCCGAAGGTTTGAAGATGTCGAAGTCATATAAATAAAGCGAGAGTGTTCGGGTGTTTGAAATGAAATTCAAATCACAGTTTATGCATGAAATAATAAGTGTGGACTTTAAACACGTCTAAAAATAGAGGAGAGATTTGACTCCCCGTCTGTCGCACACAGAGACAGCTCTGCAGCCTGACGACAGACAGACAGATTCACAGTATGAATACAGATTGAAATGATGAAAACTTTCTGAAATCACTTAGGCTTAAGTGGACAATGACACGACTGTTAATCGCTCATGTAAGATCTTCAGAAACCCATTTAGTGCACACAGGATGCGTTTCCTTTCATTCACAATTTTCTCTCAGTTAAACTTCACTAATCGGAACGAGATTTGAAAAAAAACATTATCATACTTCACGCTCTCTGAAGAGTTTTATTGGTCATTATAATGAGCTTTCAGATCCTTCCACAAAATCTGAAATTTAAGAGAAAAAAAACCCTCACTTTAACTATAAAAAAATAGAGTCTAAAGCTCCGCCCCCTGTTATAGGCCCCGCCTCTTCCATAAATAGTCGTATGTGCCACTCTCGGGTATTTTCTTAAATGTACTAACTAAACTAGTTTGTTATTTTAGTACAGAAAGTTGAACTAAATTAAAATGAGAAATGCTGGCAACTAGCTGATTTAATTTTTCAAGTAATGGTTTTCAGTGGTTCATGTTAAATATTTTATGGTTTACTTAAGTTAACTATAATAACCTTATATATTATGCATACAAAACCTGCTCATTTGCCGGATGCACTTTTTTGCAGTAAATAACAATGTGTTATTCACACAAGCAGCACTTTACTGTGT